CATGCTGCTCCACTGTAGAGCCATCTGTAGGCTGGGGAGTGTCTGTCTGTGTGTGTATGTGTGTGTGTGTGTGTGTGTGTGTGTGAGAGTGAGTGTGTGTGTGCATTAACAAACATGCACATATGTTTGCAGGTCTATGCACCTGCTCGTTTTTGTTGCTTAACAGAAACTTTGTATCCACAGACTTTTTTTTTTTTTATGAACGAGGACAAACAGCCCAGTTTTCAGCCTGACCACAACTAATTTTCTTGAAAGGAATTGAACACATTCTGAGCTCACACAGGAGAATGTTTCCTAATTCTTCTACTGATGGTCAGTTTCAAAGTTTTTGCAGGATTGCACTGACATGCACAGTTGATCCTGGACGCTTGTTCACTCTATCCATCTCCATCTTCCAAATATGTGACCAGAAGTCACTCCCAAAACACACCTTCTGATCTGTAATGGTAGGATCTAATCTTTAAGTGGGCAAGCCTGGGCCTGCCTGGCCAGTTAATGAATAGTCATGACAGAAAAAAAAAGGGGGGCGGAGCGTGGATTTGTTGTTAGATGCAAGGCAAGTTTAGAGGGCCCAGTCAGGCAAGGGAAACAAGTACAGAAGGAGAGAGGCAGACTCCTGTATCCTCCATCATGTCCTGCTCCACAGAGAGGCCAGCTGGCTGTGGAGAGCCCGGCTCTTACAGTCACATTTGACCACAGCAGAGTGTAAGTCCTATGAGACAACGTAGAAACACCCCGTCTTACCTTTCAGGAGCCTTAAGATGCTGTATGATGTGGTAAGTGGACAAGAATAAATTGTTTGTGCTTTGGCATTTTATTGTTATGTTTGAAAATGTTGTCTGTCTGGTCTGGTGGTGGAGATGGTTTATGTAATGAGTGTAGAGCTTCTAGTGTTACTCACCTCTAATGATGCTGAGCTCAGCTTTGGCTCAGGATCTCTGTGTCCAATCAGTGGCAATCAAACAGGTGAAAGAGTGAATCTGTTCTTCTGTGACTCACCATGCTTTGTGAGAGATGGCTGATATTTGAAAGTCAGGCGCACATTCTTTTGTATTTGTCTTGCATGCTTAAGTGTGGCCATAGCTATTTGAGTTTGAACTTTTGTGTTTATGAGTGTAAACAGTCTGATATGTAGTGTGGTGTAACAGTGGTAGTCTGATCACTGTTGTATTCATTTGGAAAGATGGTGACACAGGCCCCTTAAACACAGCCACGTTTTTTTCCTTCATTTTCCCTTTAAGAAGTATTACTGGAGCTAACTTTGAGGATGGTTTTGTAAGCTATTACAATTCACTTGATTTTTATAAAAAAATATAGGCTATATATTGTCCAGGTTGGCATGAAATTGGACCTCTTGAGAATAAATGCTTTATCCTCCTGCACTTTTCCAAATATTCCCAACAGGGGGCAACCTTCTTACACAGGTCTCCACATTTCACCTCCTCTCATCTTCACCTCCGTTTAACATAGCTGGTGTCGTTTAGACATGCACCCACGTTCACATGATGCCATGTCATTCATTTATGTGGCCCAACTTTTCATTTTGGTTGAGTTGTTTCTCTATTTCGACACGGCCACGTAACAACATGTGAAATCTACTTTGTTAAAAGTGCCTGCCCTGTTTAATAAAACCATAGGGCTCGGTTTAATAAGTGGCTGTAAACAGAGGTCATTAGCGTGGTGATACTCTCTTCATCCTCAGCCTATTATGTTTCACTCATCTTGACAAGTGAGGGTTGTTGTGGCTGGCTTATCTATGTTTCTAAATGTTTCTGAGCCTTTAAAGCCCGGCTTTGAGTGGCAGCTACAGGATGGCTGCCCATAGGGGACATCCGATTGTGTTGGGATGAGAAGTTTAAACACTAACGCACAGTGAACACACACACAGTTGCTCACACAGTGGCAGCAGAGGTTTTAGCTTTGTTTCAACTTGTTGCGGATTGAGTTTAGGTATTAAGACCAAGCACACCTGGGAACGCGTGTGTCTGTGTGACAGTGTGCGTGCCTGCATGTGTGTCAAGTGTTTTCTGCTGTTGACGCATACACCTGGGCTTACCTTCTGCCCGTAAAGCCCCTTTGACAATCTGTCCGAGAAAGATTTCAAAGGAAGTAAAGAGTAAGACGTCAGACACTGGAGGCAGGACAGAATCTTTTATAGACCGACCACAAGAACAAGAACATCAGCACATTCATACTGATGCCGAGGTTCATATCTTTCATGAGGGTGAACACGTTTTGAGTCTCAGCAAATGCTACAGCTATTCTACTTTTCACTGCTATGAGAGATTTAAGACACTTGAGTAAGGCTGCTTCTAACATTTTTTCTTCCTCAATTAATCTGCCAATTATTTTCCCAATTAATCAACTGTTTTGTCTTCAAAATATGAAAAGATAGTACACGAAATGACTATTACAATTTTCCAGTGCTCTATGTGACATCTTCAAATTCCTTTTTTTAATCCAAACAAAACCCTAAAATCCAAATATATTCAGTTACGGATCATCTATTACAAAGAAAACCAAAACATTCAACCAACCAGTCAAATTGAAACGTTTTTGCTTGAAACTGACTGAAATCATTAATTGATTATCTAAATAGTTTCCAACCAATTTTCTGCTGATTAACCTTTCGATTAATCAGCTAATCACTTCAGCTCTACACCTCATGTGTGTGAATTAGCAGGGGACTGTTGCCACTTATTTGAGGCTGCATTTCAAGAAAGAAAAACATCATTAGTTGTTTTGGACTCAGCTGTTATTGATGTTTTGTGCTGCATGTACCCGAGTTGGACTCAGTGTAACACACCCATGCACGCATACATCTTCATTTAACGTACACAGTTTCAGTTAAGTTTAGGACGTCTGCCTGTCCCTTTGCTTTCATGTTTCCATGGTATGGAAACACAGGACGTTTACATATCCCTCTGTAAATCTGTCTCAGTTTTTGTGTGTGTTTTAGATGTCAGTGTCTGAGGTTGAACACACAAACCAGAGCTGAGGAGCAGGATATCAGTGTGAAATGAGGCTATGTATTGTTTCAGATTGGGCTTTATAATTTAAAGTATGGCATAGCTGAAGTTCCAGCACCTCCAGTCTAAATGAGATATTGTTGGTGTTTTTACTCCTCTGTTTCCTTTTGTCTGGATACGTTTGCTTTGAATTGGTATTGGCATTTTATGCTTACAAGTTAATATCTAAATCCACTCAAAATGACATAGATTATCTGTTAAACAATTGTAATTGCTGCATGTGCTCGGTTGTATTTCAGGTGTAAAACAAAAACAACTCAGGTTGGATCTAAAACATCCACAGAGTTTACAGCTGAAATAAACCTTTTATCCAGATCGTTTCCATCCGTTAACATTCATTCATTTCAGAGTCCAGTAGTGTTGAAGAGTGTTTTTAAAAATGTTCGGCCAAACTGCTGATTTCATCCAATAGCCTACTGGGGACTGAGGTCTGACCCTTGAACTCTTGCTCCTTCATATGTTTTCCTTCTTGCCTCACTCTCTCTCTCTCTCTCTCTCTGTCGCTCTCTCTCTCTCTCCCTCAGACCAGACAGTGTTTACTTAGTGCAGGCCTTCACAAGGTGTTTTGGAGCGTGTGTGTACATGCACTCCGGCATTGCCGTCTATGTCCGGGCATGCCATAATTAGAATGTGGTACAATTTTTTGGGTTCCCATCCCTCTTTCCCTCTCTCCTTCTCTCCCCTTGTGTCAGTCTATCATTTCTCTCTCTCCACACCAGTCCTCACCTTTTTCCCTGTCCTGATTGTACATGTGTCTGTGTCTGTGTCTGTGTCTGTGTGTCTGTGTGTGTGTGTGAGAGAGAGCGAGAGAGAGAGAGAGTATGTGGTGTGTCCACTGAAGCACACCTCACTTGAACTCTTTGGTTAGGCTATGGTCCTGCACTCTCTTGGCTTTACTGTCTGTGGACATTTCTGACTGAAGAGTGGACAAATGAAACCAAAGCACTAAAGGATGTATTACGTGAAAAAGAAGGTAAACATTTTGTGTTTTTCTGCTCATAGGGTAATTGTGTGTGTACGTATGTGTGTTTAATGTTACTATTCCATTATGAACTTGAAATCATTGTCAGATACTTGATGCACCTACTGTATGTACAATACAGGCAGTGAGGATACATCTGGCATCTTTACTTTAGTAATCTGTATTATTTGTTTGGTTTTCATATCATTACTTGTCAGGTGCTTTCTCTTGTTGAATCAGAACTGGCTGGACTCACATATGAAATATGGACTCATTGTTGTTCAAAGTGAGTAAGAGTGGATACGACTGGACTTGGCTGTTTGTGTTTTCTGATTTTTCTCTTTTTGCTCAAGTAGTGTGACAAGGAATCAACAAATGAACATGAGTGGTTGGAAAAAAAAATGACAGGGGCCAAAAAGCAGTTTCCCTTCTACAGTACAGTAGCTTATCTACATAAGGGCCTCACAGAGTGCAATAACAAGAGTGTCACTGCACACACTTCAGTGCAACAAATCTTCCCTCTCTTCAAACACAGTGCAGAGGACAAGAGGGGAATAGCAGGCAATTAGGCAGAGCACAGATTATGCCTGTGTTTTACAACTCTCCTCGCATAGCCCCAAGGAGGCTACTGTGAAGACCTCACTGCAACTGCCACACACACACACACACACACACACACACACACACACACACACATGGACACACTCAAGTTTGTTGTCCTGAGCTTGTGCTGATTTTATCACCTGTCTCCATCTTTTTTCATGTAAAAAATCACACAAAAAGTGCTCAGCATCGATCATGGACACCTACCTAGACAGTTACACATGTAACCACACACATTCAGCATCACACACACACACACTACCCGCAACTCTCAGTGTAATCCGACCTCCCTCCAAGCCTTCAAACTCCTGTTTCTCCAACACTTCTACCTGTGTCCTCCCTCCGTCTCCCTCCTCCCTCCTTCGCCTCCCTCATTCTCTTCCCTCTTCTTTTCTTCCCAGTCCCAGTACAACTTGCTGAGCAGCAGCATGGAGAGCCTGGGGAGCCGCGCGACGTCCGCCAGCCCCTACAGCTCCGAGAACGCCTCCTCGTCGGCCGTGCCCACCCCCTCACCATACTCCCAACCCAACTCCACCTTTGAAGGCCTGTCGCCTGCACCGGCCATCCCCTCCAACACCGACTATCCCGGGCCGCACACCTTCCAGGTGTCCTTCCAGCAGTCCAGCACTGCCAAGTCTGCCACATGGACCGTGAGTACACTCACTTTCTTGGCTTTGACATGCAGGGTGTGTGTGTATGTGTGTGTGTGTGTGTGTGTGTGTGTGTGTAGACAAGTGCATTTCTCTGCCTTTTGTGTCAGGCTCACTGTCTTACTGAGTAACTGTATTGCACACAAATAAACGTGCACACAAAGACACTTTTTCACATGCACATGTACACACAGTCACTCAAGTCAGCAGAGAAAAGTTGCATCATTCAGTGATTCATCTTGTCCTCTACTCACCTCATGTAGTCAAATCTAATGTGATGAATGCAGCAGGGAAAGTTTGGTTTATATATATAGTGTAGTTATATATATATGTATACATACATACATACATACATATATATATATATATATATAGCGTCCTGTTTTTTTATTTTTATGTACAGTGAGTGTAGTGAGTAGTGAGTACAGTGTAATGTAAATGTAGGAATTATTCCATCATATTTCACTATATGAAATCAATGCATTAACATGTTGTAATGATAATAATGCAATACAGGCTGTTGTAGTATGTCATGTCTTAATCCATATATGGCACTTTTAGTGTTGCCTGTTGTTTCATTGTAGGAGTCTTTGGGATGTGCACTTCACACTAACATTGTATCTACACATTGAAAAGAAGATTTTTGTTAGTTCTATAACAGACATAATATAACACATGGAACATATCATGTGACATATCTATTGTAAATATGATAAACACAATGGATAAAAACATCAGCTGTAGTAATTGTACACAAATCAGAGGAACTTGAAAACTGACTGAAAGACTTCTCTGAACCTACAACACGCACTACTACCTTGTGATGTGACGGTGCTGAGAGACAGGTGAAATGGGAGCTGTGTAATTTGTCATGACCCAATGAGGAGTCTCCTGCTGGAAAGGTGTCACCTCCGACTGTCACACAGTTGACCTCCCTGAAACAAGAGAAACAAGAGACAAACTGCACTTCCTTCACTCTCTGTGTGTGTGCGTGTGTGTGTGTGTGTGTGTGTGTGTGTGAGTGTGTGTGTGTGTGTGTGAGTTCAGGCCTGTGAGTGTCTCTGTGTGATTGACTGAGGGGCTCCTCTGTGGCTGTGTTTGCTGGAAGTAACCATGCGTGGTGGGATGTTTTACTCAGCCCTCAGTGATGTAAGAAGATCCCCTTTGGACATTAGAGCGGTGGTCTTTGACCTGCTGCTTTTCTTCTCTGTGTCTTTCTTCCACTGGTCTTAACACCCTCTCATGGCTGTCACCTTTGGTGCCTAAAGTTTCTCCCTGTCCTCTCCTGAAGTCATCTCTCTTTTCTCCCACTTACATTCTCTGACTCAGTTCTTTCTCACGGACACAACTAAATTCATAGTAACCAAGAAAAACACGGACAAAAAACATTAGTTTGTTTATCTGAGAAGTGACTGCAATGATATGAAATCCTAAAATATGCCAGAAACCTGTTTCAACCTGTGTGGTTTCAAATGAACCGGCCTTACTCTCCCATTAGTTTGTTCACTGTTCCTTATATCTTGATACATACATCAAATCAAAGTAGCCTGATAAATCCCAAATACAAATTCAGTGTTTCTACACACTTCAGCTCCCTGCGGTTCCATCTACCCTTTTGCAACAGAATAAACTCCTCTTATTGGCTTTGGTTTGCATGGATAATCGTTTGAAAGAGATCCTAGATTTATCAACAAAGAAGAGAGCTTTGATTCTCCCTGAACAGTTCAAATCGTAGCAGTTTTGTGTGTTACAGAAAGAGCAGAAAGAAAAGAGGTTTTGACTGGCGCATGACTTACGATACAGATGATGAGGCAGCAGAAAAAGGGTTGTGATTGAGGAAACCTGTGATTATTCAGATGCCTGTGCTGCAGTTAAACAGGAGGGATTAGAATGAGAGAGAGACTGGTTGATTGCTCATGGCTTTTATGGAGTTTACCGTATGCTTTGTTTTCCTCTTGCATACCTGATTATAAGATTGACGAAGTATGAGAAGATGTATTTAAGGGTTATTATACAGTGGCTATGGAAAGGCAAAAGTTTTCATGTGTGAGATGATTATATTTAATCCCATAGGATGCTAAAGATGTCAAGAAAATGTTTCATTCCAAATCAAAATGGCAGCATGCAATCAAAAATATCAATCAAACCAAGAAAACCAAGGGAACATTTGCCAGGCTACATTTGAGCTCAGCGGCAAAATGCTTTTTGAGGGTTAGGAAGTGTTAGTTTTCAAAAGAACACAGATTATATTCAAGCCTCTTAGAATGAATGCATTTCTGCTAATGGGAGGGGATTCCCCGAAAATAAAACCAGGTTTGCATGAGGATTTGTGTGTGTGTGTGTGTGTGTGTGTGTGTGTAATGTGAATGCACATGTATATGTGTATAGTTATGCAAAATTCAGCAGAAAGTCCAGGTTTGAACATGCTTGAAAAAAAAGGATGAGTATCTGGACCAGACTGAGTCACCTTGTTTGAATGAAGAAGTCAACAGTCTCTGGGTTTCTTGCTCATTTCTTATGGCCTCAGGCAGTGGGGAATGCCGAATCCCATAGGGGCATATTGACTATAATCACTTACTTAGCTGCTCCCCTCCCCGGCCCACTGCCGCTCACAAAGAGTGGGTGGCATGCAGTGCTCTGGGAGATTATGAGAAAGGTAGCTGCCTTTTGCAACTTAAATTTAATATTTAATTTAAAATATAATAAACTTAAATTCCCTTTGTCAATTGAATAATTGACAGGTGAGGCTTGTGGCAAGACTCCGTACATTAGTGATAATAGGTCTGAAACTCTGACGCTCTCTTGCCCCTTGCAGATGATTCCTTGGTTTGGACACAAGAATCACTGCAGCTGGAAATGAGATGTAACACCTCTGCCTTGTCAAATAATAAGACCTCTTTCCATACACTCAGACTTCAGTTCATGTCAGTGTGTGTGCGCGCATGTGTGTGTGTGTGTGTGTGTGCGCGTGTACGTGCATACAGTATGTGTCAGGAGAGGCGGGGTTGATGTGGTGGGGATGCAGGCTCCAGCATGCACTGCACAGCGGCTTGTCAGAAGCTGCTCTTCCCAGCTATTAGCCTCTCTCCGTTAGCACACAGGTCCCAACATGCCCCACACAATGCATCCTGCCCTTCCTTTCCCCATGCATCATCCTCGGCCACATCACCGCCGGATGAGCATCTGACCTGAGAAAATACACTCGATGAGGAAGGATTTTTCACACACACTTCTGAGGAAATTCGCTGCTTAGATGTCAACAGCAAATACATGAAGTTGTCCATAACTATATGAGATTCAGATCAATTTCTACAGCAAATGCAAGTGCTTTTTATAGTCACCCAGTAGATGAAGTGCTTAAAGAGAACAAACAGCCTCCAGGATTGATATCTTAACTAATTTCAGTCCTGTACATCAATGTACATTGTCCATAATCCCATCTGGATGCCACCAATCCAGGAAACTAATTCATTTAACACTGCTCTTTTCTGCTGTGTGTCCCATAACACTCTGTGTAACGCTGGGTATATGTCATGCTGTCAGAAGGACTGAACTTTTACAATCCTCATGGACTGTGCCAGTAAGTAAATGCAGTGAACAGCAGTCAATATGAAACTATTCAACTTTCTTTTACTACCCACAGTATGTATTAAATCATTATCTTCAAATGTTTCTTTCAACCCTAACCCTTTAATAAATTTCTAACTTATTGCTATTTGAGGCAAAAATGTAAGATCTGAACGACTCATCAATTATCCCATGGTTAGATCTTTAACTGCAGAGAACCAAGCTGCTGTTGAAAAGAAAAAAGATCAGTCTGTAAAGGTCATTACGTCTTTCCTTCTTTCCCAAAGTCTCTAAGAGACAAACAGCAATTACTACCATGTCAAAGAAAGTGCAATTTTTTTGGTTGATTTGAATCCAATATAATTATAGACTATAGAAATGCAGCTTAGCCTGTGTTGATCAGTACAGCATGCATGTATGTCAACTGTGTGTGTGTGTGTGTGTGTGTGTGTGTGTGTGTGTCTGTGTGTGTGTGTGTGTGTGTGTGCATAAACGTATTTGATATTTGGACAGTTAAGTGAATTTGTGGTGGGCAAGTTGTTGCTTGTGTATATGGATGACGGTCTGGCAATTATCACCCTGTCTCCAGGAGCCTGTCAGGACCTGCCTCCGCTGTTCCACTGTGTAGAGGCAGGGATGGATGGGTGAATGGATGGACTGAAGGCTGAATTAATGGGTTCATTTATGCGATGGCAATGAAAACTGACAACTGAATAGTTAGAGCATTATAACAGTGCTCTTTTACAGACATGATCACACCACAACATTGTGGGATAAATCGCTGGATGATTCTATTCTAGAGAAAAAGCACATTTGATTAAATGTGTACACGAGCTACTGAGAACACCAACAAAAACTGTATTATTAAGTAAAAGAAAATGAACATATCACCATCCGCTCTAGACTGAGTGGATGGAGGTTGACAGTCCATAGCTTAGAGGTAACAAGCAAATGGTTGTTTGCAAAGCTTGTTTTACCCTCAGTGAAAATAGACAGTGTCTGTCTGTTAGTAGTGAGTAGTCAGATGTCGCGTAAAATCGTCAACAGACTTCACTGAAAACGGGTGGAATGTTAGGCAGCTGACCGATGTTTTATGTTGCAAATTCAGGAAATTTTAAACGACGTCTTAACATGTTTGAAGATTTAGAAATGTGTATGCCTTACAATCTGTAATCCTAGTTTTTTCTCTTAATTTCCTTTTCTCACTCACCTTGAAGATTTTTTCCAGCTCATTGACAAAGCAAATAATGTCTTAAGTCTTTGACTATCTTTAGTTGAGTGTTTGTTCTCTCTCCATCTTTTTCTCCTTCCTCTCCATCCTTTCATCCCCCTCTCTGTCTTGAAACTAAGCCCAGCTTATCCATCACTTATCATATCTTGTCTGAACAGGAAGATACACATGAGATACTGTCGTTCTTTTATTAATGTTTCGCTTCTGACAAAAACGAATTGAGCTCAACTCACAGATTCATGTGTGCATGCCTGTGCATCTTCGGTGCATGTGCACACAAGTCTGTGTGCTGGACGAGTTGAGACGTCTCCCAGGGCATCTGCACCCCGGAAGCCTGAAAACACAAAAAATAATTTATGACTTTTCATGCACTGTTTCATGTTCAAACACAATACCACAGAAACCGCTGATCCCTACTGTTTCCACAATGTATCAAGAACCAATGCAATGGTCACTTATAATACTGTACCTGATACTGGGACGACAGGATTTTAGAATAGACATGGAATTGCAAATTATTACTGACCTGTAAGAATGATTTGTCAGATGGAAAAAAACTAACTTTTGGCATGGAGAAAACAAAACCAAAAGATCTGTTGCAAATCAGGTGGCTACTCATACTGTCAGTACTGTAGCGGGTTTAAGTAAAGGTAAATGGTTTGAGTATATTTGTGTGTGACTCAGGACACGGGATTGTCTCTTGTCCCCTGCAATCAGTCTCTACTACAAAGCATCATGAGTTCTTCCTCAGTTTGTTGCTTTGGTAAATGACTAAAAGCTCACAGGACCATACATGTCCATCAGTATAACCTTTTTTTGTCAAAGTAATATTATCAGTGTGTATTAATGTAGCTGCAAGGACATTCAGTTAGTGATGTAGGATACTATACAGTAGATACTAGTTGTTGCTTGCACAGAGTCAGTGTGCTGCCTGCATTCTTCTACATACACCAAGCCATTTAACCACCACCACGACTGAATATCAATAACTTCTTTCTGTGAGGCTGCCTGCTAAAAACCTTTAACCACATTTTCATTTTGTCAAATGCTAAAAGAGTTAATACTCTAATGTTGTGATCGTGCTGCAAAGCAAACCAGTGGATCATTTTTTGAGATGTGATTGTTGCAACAAGAAAAGTCCCCAGGTCTGTAAATAAGATGTCTGTCTGGCCGTTGCATCTAAGGAAAATTATTTATTCATGGTATGGACAAGCTGTTGAGACTTGTCAGGGAAAGCTAGGTGGGAAAAGGTAATGTGGTGCACAGGTATTTCCATTGCCCTCAAGGGAATGCTCATGGCTAAGGGTGTGTGACTGTGTGTGTGTGTGTTTGTGTGTGTGAGAAAGAGAGAGAGTCTGCAGTGTGTGTGTAAGAGTGAGGGGGCTTTGTAACGGTCACAACAAGGACTCTAAGCAGTAGGTGTACTGGTGCAGGTGTAGGAGTGACGGGCCAGAGGCTGGCTGGTGGGAGAGTCGAATCAGAGTATGGATGATCAGTGTAAAATTTTAAAAGTCATTTAATGTAAATTCAAAGAAAGAGCTGATGTTTATGCAATAGAAAATTCTAGATATTGTAATTGTATTGTATTGTGATGAGGTGCAGAAGGATCAAAGTCCAAGCGTCCACATGAAAGTAAACAGTGATTAATATCAAAGAACGATCTGCATGAGTGACAGAGGTGAGTTTAGGAAAAAGAAGAAAAGTGCAAGAAAAGTGCTTTTTGAAAAGACTGTGGTGAGAAGAGGAATATGTGGGAAAGCATAATGTAACTTCTGGGGTTAAAGGGGTATAACAGTGATTTAGGGGACTTATAAAAGAAAAATTAAAAATATAGAAAAAAATACAATGGAAACTGAAGCAGCAGAGGGCAAGATAACCTGACTTTTAGTCCCTAATAAGGGTGAAGTGGACACTACACTTCCCACTATACTTTGTTAGACCCACCCCAAAGTGCCCACATCTTCCAAACTCCACACCACCAGTTTCAGCCTTTCTGTTAAAAAGCCTACACTGAGATAACCTTAAGGACGTTATGAGGGGTTCATTTTGAAATTTTGGAAAGCTCCCTTGGAAAGATCCACATAAGACATTATAAATTCAAGGTTTAACTAAATGCAAACAATGCACTCAACTATGGAACTCACCAAATGCCATGAGTTGATGAAATTTGAAATTTTCCAATTAAAAACTTGAAAAATTGAAGTATAGCTTGAAATGGTATAGATGTAGACCATATAACTGGAGTACAGGTGCTCATGTTTTATGTGTCTTTACGCCTTCTCTCACCCATCAAATACAAAAAGGAAAAATGACATTAAAAAAGGCATTGAAAAGGGAAGTTTTTTCCAGTGCAGTGTTGCAGATATTGAGCTGTATATACTGTACTTCTGCCATAAGGTGCACTGTTGCGTTTGTATTCAAGCTCATCGTAGCAAGCCCATACAGGACAACTGTCTTCTCTGTTTGGTTTCTGGAAGGTCCCAGTTTGATTTCCACAGGGAAGATTTTTGAGATTTCATGATTGTGTTGGGGCATGTTAAGGCTTTTCCATCCCTTGTCCTGGTGTCTTTGGATCCATCTGAACAAGCATTTATACACACACGTACATATGCATGTGCATGTGTAAATGCCCATAAACTCAGGAATCCTTGACGACTTGGCTTTAATGCAGCTCCGCACATTTTCTGACTTGAGTGATTATTGTGAAACAGGCCTATGTCAAACATTTTTAATTATCAGCCAGTCTTATATTTTTCCTCAGCTGGTACACACACAGAGACATAACCATTCTTTATAGTCTGTCCTTTCTAACTCCCGCTTTTCCTCTGCCATCTGCAGCATCTCACATTACTACCCGCAAACTCTGCTATATAACAATGATTTATTCATTCTAATAACACATTCATTTCCTTTACAACATAGACTTCATTTTACCAGTGGCTGTTTTACAGTTGTCATGTATTTTCCCTTTCTCTTTCCTCAAATGGCACACAGTCATGATTTTATATGATAATTACAGTGGACTGTAGCTGCACCCCACTATTTTATAATGTTATCACACAGCTGGTTATTTGTCCACGCTGTCTACTATCATTTAAAAATGCTTTTTTGTCTAGCATACTGATAGTTGACTTAATGGCTCAAATCACATTATTTCAGCTGGAAACAGCAACTCCATCCTGTATTTTTGTAATGATGTCTGTGGCAGCAAATACTTTAAGATTAACCCTCCCACCTTTTCTCCCTTAGCTACTTCTTGAGAAAACAGTTTGTGTGTCTTTAATCCTACGTTTCATTTTTCCGTAGTTTGTTTGAAAAATGTAAATTTGAATTGTGATTATTTGGTATTTTTCTGGATAACTAGTGGATCTGATTCTTTAGGTGTGTTCACTGCCTACATCATAAGTCTCTCTGAACACGAGTGTCTGAAAAATGGCGAAACTGTTAAAATTCAAAGAGAAAGAAAAAATCTCCTGCAGTTGGGTATTCAAATTTTAACACAGCAACTGGGATTTTGCGGGTCAAAGTCTTAGTTCACGCGCACATGTGACTGACTGATTGTGATGTGATCTGATGTGCTCTGAGAATATCCAAGTCAGACACACACTCAAAATTGCCGTTTGTCAACTCTCTGAACCTGTGTGTTCTTTTGCCCTCTAGTACTCTCCCTTGCTGAAGAAGCTCTACTGTCAGATTGCCAAGACTTGTCCGATCCAGATCAAACTCTCGTCCTCTCCTCCGCATGGCAGCATCCTCAGAGCCATGCCCGTCTACAAGAAGGCGGAGCATGTCACAGAAGTGGTCAAACGCTGCCCCAATCACGAACTAGGACGAGATTTCAACGATGGTAATGAAACAGGAGAGGATGATACATAGTTCATTAATAATAACACTGGTTTGAATTTTGCCTAAAACACAAACAGTTTGTGCATTATACCTTTCATAAACAAGACTGTATGGTGTCTGAAATGTATGATGCTTTGACTTAGATTGGCACAACTGCGTCCTCACCTTTCTTCCTTTGTTCTTTCCAAAGGTCAAGCAGCCCCAGCCAGTCACCTGATCCGGGTGGAGGGGAACAACCTCTGTCAGTATGTGGATGATCCTGTCACCGGGCGACAGAGTGTCTTCGTGCCCTACGAGGCTCCACAGGTTAATGGTTCATCAACTCCTGCGTATCATGGAGACCCAAAGCTCATTAGATTAAGTATCTCAAAAACAGGACTTATGACTTTAGACCCCAAAAATGAATTATGGTATGTTTAACATGGACAAAATATTTGGGATATAATGTCCCTAATATTTTGTACATTTAGATCAAGTGTTCTTGTTGTGGACACACAATGGATGCGTCATTCAACAGAAAAACAGTCAGTTTCAGTGAGGTGCTTCATAGAAAGCATGTCTATAAATAAAGATGGCGGGCATGTCCAAACAGTTACCCAAGTGACAAATCATCATTTCTGCAACTGCACCTGAGGAGGTTAATGAAAAGCAAAATTGTTTGGCCTCACGTCAAAGTGCGCTACAGCCCCCTGGTGGTGAACTGGCCACACTTACTGTAAAATGGGAGGGTTGCTGGTGTTTAGATGCACAGATTGAAAGAAATAGTTTGAGTCATAAACATCCAGAAATTCCTTGATAAATGTCACATAGATTAAACAAACAAAAAAAAAAAAAATCCAGTTATTAATTCATGGTTTTGTGCTGCAGGTGGGGACTGAGTTTACCACCATCCTATATAACTTTATGTGCAACAGCAGCTGCGTGGGTGGCATGAACAGGCGACCCATCCTCATCATCATCACTTTGGAGACCAGGGAGTAAGTCAGAAATTCATAAGTCAGACACACAAACAGTTCAAAGAAGTTACTTATTTTGGCCTTAACAAACAATTCTCAGCTCTTTGTCACTGGTTTTATTTCATTCTTTTTTGTTTGCACAGGGTACATAGGTTTTTACAAATATACATTGTTTTACAATAGTACGTACTGGCAAATAACACAGGACTACACGACCAACCCACAGTTCATTGGGAAGTGCAGAATAAAATACATTATACACAGCAGATTATAAATACTATTTCTATTACTATTCAGTGTCATTTGCTGTGATGTAAATTTTAGCATAAAGTATGGTTGCACCCATAGTGTAAGAGTATTCAGTGCACTGATCCACCAAACAAAAGTAAAACTGAATAGTAAAGACATTCCGGGAAAGTTAAAGAACCCACTGTGGATTTCATCTTAACAAGTCCTGATGAGTATATGTTCTCTCCTGAATTATGTCTCCAGTGGTCAAGTCTTGGGCAGAAGGTCATTTGAAGGTCGGATATGTGCGTGTCCCGGCAGAGACCGCAAAGCCGATGAGGACCACTTCAGGGAACAACAGGCCCTGAACGAGAGTGTAGCCAAAAATGGCAGCGCCACCAAACGCAGTGAGTAGAAATTTTGAGATTCAGTGCTGTTTCAAGTTGCTGGTTGATTGGTGTGAATGATGAATAATGAGATTGTGAAATGCGTTAGGAACCTCTTTGACCATGATTCTGTTTCTGTCGTCTGCAGACTTTAAACAGAGTCCGCCAAATATTCCGAGTCCAAATATTAACATGAGGAAGAGGCGGCATGGAGAGGAAGAGATTTACTATATTCCTGTAAGAGTCTTTCACACACGTATCAGTCCACATGAAAACTGAAACAGTACATTGTCAGCTTTTACAGCTGCTTTACATTTAATGTGTGAGGTTTCATCATGCAGCCATATGTGGAAATATTTACACTGATTTAAAGAGAGTCAATAGCATCGTTTCAAATACTGAAAACAAATGTACCATGTTTGAAGGACGTGCTCATATTCCCTGATTGATTATGTTACGTGTTGTGCCGGGTTTAGGTTCGTGGTAGGGAGAACTTTGAGCTGCTGATGAAGATTAAAGACAGCTTGGAGCTGGTGGAGTTGGTGCCACAGCCCCTGGTGGACTCATACAGACAACAAACACAGCAGCAACTGCTGCAGAGACCGTGAGTCAGGACGACACAAACACACAGTCACCTGTCGGTACATGTAGCCCACAAACATACATGTATATAAAAATGTGACACACAAAAAGGCACATTAAAAAAAAAAACATGCTGTCAAAAATACACTGTGGTTACTCTCTTCTGTGTGAGTCACACGCACAAATATACATAATATATACAGAGTTACTCTCGCTTTCTCACTTTGTCAATCACACACACTCCTTTATGACAAATTTTCCAGATGAAGTCTATGAGAAAAATGGGGATGGGAGTAAGTTGAAGTTGATGATATAACCCTCTCAAAAAGCTAAATTAATTATCAAGCTGCTGTGAATTGACTTGCACACTCACTAACACACAGACACACACGTTCCACTAACCTCTGCCATACTGTCCTCTTTTCTCCAGGAGTCACATAGCGTCCCCCTCCGCGTACTCACCACTCTCCAACATGAACAAGCTTCATGCCCATGGAGGCCTCAACAAACCGCCCTCAGTCAACCAGCTGGTGGGGCAGCAGCAACAGCAACACCCTGCTGCCCCCACATCCTTATCTCATATGGGTGAGTATCCATACTATTAAGTATGTGATTAAAATCTAAATAGATGTACTCATAAAGCATATTTCAAACCAGTTTGTTTCTAAAGTTTTCTGATCAGAAATGATTCATCCCAAGAGAGCCTTTTTATGTCATTATGGTACAATTCTTTGTAATATTTTGCTGCTGATTACTTTGTTGACCACCCCTCCCTTTCTCACAGGTTCAAACATGCTCAACAGCCACCACATGCAGGCCAATGGTGATATGAATGGTGGCCACAGCAGTCAGACTATAGTGTCTGCTTCCCACTGCAGCCCGCCCCCTCCGTATAACCCTGACCCCAGCCTTGTCAGGTACCTCACCCTCCAATGACACTCCTTTTTTATTCTCCTGTAAAGGCCAGCAGATAATCAGGTGCATTTGTTGGGTTTAATAGGAATTGGTGCCATGTCGATGCCAAAACAACTACTTTGTTTGGCCATGTCCGTACAAATTTGGTCAAACTGTTTTTTTTTGGAAAAGTTCCTTCTTGCAGTGAAATGTGTCTAGATGGAACTGTGTTATACAGACAGTTTGATTTGATTATGGTTGCTTTGTAATGGCAATTACATCACAAACCTCCAAGCAACCATGGCTGGTGCCATAATGAAGGTCCACTGAAGAACTGGTTACATGGAATTGATGTCTATTTATAATACAGTTAAACTGGAAAAAGAGCATTACATGGAAAGGTTGTGTTATAGGAGTAGGAGCAGGTTAACCAAGTAAAGTTTTAAGTAAAAGTAAAACGTTTTTTGGTTTGTTTGCTTCCAAATTGTGGCCAATATGATGTAAAAACGGTCCTGTCTCCAGTAGTACAAGATTAGAAGTGTCTGTCTTTGTTAGCTGGCTGAAAGCAACTGGTGTTCCTACTCAAGCTCACCCCTCTAGTTGCATATGCTAAGTGTCTAAATCAGATGTGTTGATCATGTCTATTTACTCTGCTCATACAGTCAAGCTGCTCAAGAGTTGTAGACCTCCACTATGGCTGCCAGAGGGTTTGTTATGTCACCTAAAAGCCCAACCTGTGTTTCATACATTTACATCTAAAATCATTCACACTGTCACAGTGTGTACAGCCTACATATACTTTTGCAATGCACTACAGCGAATTTTCTTCAAAAGAAATTTCCATTGTTTAAGTTCTATTTAATTTAAAACTGTTTTTTCTCTTATTTTCTTTAAGATAATGTGTCACTGCAGTTGTTTTAACTTGGACTTTACTAACACACATTTAACATTTTTGATACAGCAGATTTTGTCCACCTTTTTATTTTCTAGATCACTATGTTTATTTTACAGTTAAATTGTACAGTTAGCTTCTTTTTCGATTACATTGTATGTTGCCAAAACTTTAACATTTCATGTATTTATAATAAAGATTCTTCACCAAAGCAATAACGGCCTTATGAATCATTAATATAAATGCATGTTTTTGGTTTTACTTCCACTGCATCTATCAAGATGTATAGTTTCTGCACACTTGAGGTTAATCCGTGCCCTAAATCTTTCACTCAGTTTTGAAATAAACTAATAATAACTTGAGAAGACAGTGAGATAATGACCTGTGATGTAACAGCATTGACATGCTTTTCTATTCATTTCTGTCTAAAAATAAATGCTGACCCTAATAATAAAGTTAGGATGTTATTTGTTCTACTCAAATCCAACTGCACTTTTCATCAGTGTTAATGAAGTTGCTTTTTATAATTTAGTCCTACTTTTAGCTTTGTAGCTGTGGTCTAATGGCAGTCTAAGCAGCCCTGCTTTTGTCCCCATACAGTTTTCTTACCAGTCTGGGCTGTCAGAACTTCATTGAGTACTTCACCTCCCAAGGCCTCCAGTCTGTCTACCATCTTCAGACTCTCTCCATGGAGGTAACTGCTCTTTTCCTGCACTCACAATCTCACAGTGATCATAATGATTATAATAACAAGTTTTGTGTCTACAGCTTCATAGAAAACAAGAACAAAAGGGGGAAAGACACAATAAAGAAAGAGCAAATGATAGTGAACATGAAAAAGTTGGAAAAGTAAAGAAATTAAAAATAAAACAAAATAAAAGTGTCTCAGAAAAAGCTTCTTAAAAAGCATTTGAAGATAGGAATAATTTGGCCTAGTCTTATTTAAGGTAGCCTGTGGAGGTTTTGACCACTAGTGATGATGTAGAACAATATCTTTGATAAGCTGGCCTTGTAGTTTTTGTGTCCACCAGGAAACACGACGACATGCACATTTATCATTTTCTGTCTTCTTACTTTTCTCCTTCATTCTTACACCTCCAATGTCTATTTGTGCCTCCTTTAGGATTTGGGTGCACTGAAGATACCGGAGCAGTCCCGCATTGCCATCTGGCGAGGTCTCCAGGACATGAAACAAGGTGCTCCCATCCAACTGCCCACCTCTACTCATCACCATGACTATCATGGCCAGCAGCTTCTTCGCTCCAGCAGCAACATGGCCGCCTCTGCAATGGCAGCCATCGGGGCTGCCAGCGGGGAGCTGCAACGTCAGCGTGTCATGGAGGCTGTGCACTTTCGTGTCCGCCACACCATCACTATCCCCAACAGATCAGGTGTTGTTGGGACGTCAGGAATGGCATCTTCTGCTGACGAATGGGCTGACTTTGGTTTCGACATGCCTGACTGCAAGATGTCACGTAGCAAGCACTCAATCAAGGAGGAGTTCATGGAAAGTGACGTTCACTGAGCCTGAAATAATCTTGGGACTGTTTTGGCAACATTATTGTCACAATCAGCCTATTTACAGAGTAAAATCATGTGGATAGGGTCTTTAAATGTGTTGTTAGGTGTTGCTGTCAAATTTGGTCAATGATTTTGGAGAGAATCAAGTTTTGTTTTGATTGTGGGACATTTTCAGTGTGTAAATGCACGTTCCTGTGCAGTCCTTCTTTGTGCTTGATCACTTGTTCCACCCAGAAGATTGAACATGAGATACCCCAAAGGACATTTCAAGTCTACATAGGGACATGGGACTCTGATAAGTGCATGTTAAAAGAGGGAAATATCAATTATTCTGGAAAGTGGGATGTTGTTTGGTCTCACTGTGCAATAATAGATGACACATTTTTCTTTAACAGCATCCACTTACAATAATGGTGAACAAGTGTGGCACTTGTACAATCACACAAATGTCAGAGTAGACATTTCACCATTTCACATTCTCATTTTCATTTTTTTCTCATTATAAAACTAGTTCTCAGCTTACTTATTTATTGTTCTTTCAGTTTTCTGTCTTATGTATAAATGTATATACTGTATCTTGTAAATGTTTTAGACTAGATGTGATTGAAAAGGGGTATTTAGATTCAAAATGGTGTCCTGTTTGAACCAAACATATGGAGTTGAATGGTAAATCAAACTCACAGGTTTGGGAACACATAGTCATGTATATTTTCAGTGGGCATGATAATGTGATGACTTTTAGTTCAGTATGCCCTTATCAATACATTGTTAAAAAATATTATTTAATGGGCTTTGGTATAAATAGTGTGTATTCATGAAAATGCAATGGAAATCAAAGTCAACAAGTAATTAGTTAGACGTCACATTTATTATTTTTTTTAATAAGATATGGGAAATACTGTGTTATTCTTGTGTAGAAACACATTGCAAAACAACTGAGAGACAAGATATCAAAAACAGTATTATAATTATCCTAAACACGAGACAAGACCGTAGCATTTTTGTCCTTCTCTGTGTATTTTGAAAAACCTTGCAGGGCAAGGTCCTCATATATTGATTATAGCTAGTTGTGTACCTAGTGTATATCTTCATGGCACTTGTTTGTGGATATTTGATAGCAACATTCCAATTTTATCCCTAGATAGCCATCCAGGACAATTAGTCATGTTGCAGTTTTGGTATGGTGTCAAAATTGTTTGTAGTATTTGACTTTGTACCATGACAATAACCCATACCTTATTTACAGTCATTTTCTAAGGCCCTCTTACCTACAAACACACACACTGTCACCCACTCACCAACAACTGGTCAAAGAAAGAGCACTTTAATGCTTTAAAAGTAAAAATAATTTTGGGTTATTTGTGCTTATGATCAGTATTATGCATAACCATGATGTAAATAATAATAGTACTTTGTTTTGATATACCTGACAAGTTTTTTTTCTATCAGTTTTATAAAGATGATTAAGATGTGTACCTTTGTAACTATTGCTGTTCATTCATGTCCATTAGTTTCTGAGGTTGTTAAGTTCAGTGTTTTTCTTAAAACTGTGGATATTAAAATATTTGCCTACCTTTAACGTCTCTCTTTATCAAAGTGAAAGCGGTTTTAGACTAATTATTGCTCTGGGTTTCATTTGAATTAACATTTATGTTAATAGGCAAAATCTAATAAGACATAAATCAAAATTATGTTATGTTATTTTTATGTATTACTGGAGCTGAGAAGCCTGTGTGCTTGTGTTCGTTTATGGTCCTCAGTCTGTTCGATCTGATCAACGCTCAATAGTTCGTCGTTCTCGGAGATCTACTATCCTTCCTGGCGTTTGTTCGCGTCTTCGCGGAAGTACTGACGTGTTCACACCAGTTTGCACGAGAGGTGGCTAGTTTAGCTAGCTAGGTAAAGCCGGGTATTGACAACAGCGGCCGTATCAGGTAAGAAAGGACTGTCATTGCTTATTTTCACTGCAGTTGCAAACACAACTAAGAGATGTAGAGAGATATTGAAACTAAGATACAAACTGAAAAAAGATTTTACCATTTAGTGAATACCGATGTGGTTACCAGAGTTTTGTTTAATTTGTAATTTGGCTAGCTGGTTAGCTAGAGCCGTTGGCAGCGTAATACCGTATCTCCGGAAGTGAGTTGTCAAATTATCAATCTCCTTGCTGGTACTTGTAGTTCAACACTTTCCTGAGACACATAATTTGCAATGGAGGGAAAGCGAGTCCTTAACTACATTTTATTTTGCTAGGCTTTAGTGGACTATGTGGTGGAGTTGTGGGAATTGTAGTTCAATAAATTAATTTAAGGGCCGACAGGGGACAAGTGAAGCTTCACGAAAACTACATAACCCATGCAAACGGTAATTTGGGCCATAGGGCAATGTACACTTGGATAGCTTGTTAGCCATTCCTAGGGCTAATTTGTAAGCTACCGTGAGTAACTTTAAAATAATATCACAGACGAAACGTCTGTAACGATTACTTTATCATTTATTTCGATCTTAGCCATCTTATGGTTTCCTCCAGAGAGTCTGTTTTGATGACTATTGCTTATTAGCTGCCTTCTCTATTGCCTAAGGTTGTTAGCTAGTTATGTAGCTAACGTTAGCTAGCCACAACCTCGAACAGTTCTGCACGGTCCTGCCTTTTTTAGGTAAAGATACGTGTCAAAATCAATATTTAAAATGCACTTTAATCGCAACGTCAAGACAGCGCAGTTGGTAATCAAAAGTATGAAACACAACCTCAAATTTCAACGTTAATGTTGGACTATCAGTAACGTTTTCTAGAAAATCCATGATCCTATCGTAACCAAATCAATGGATCTCTGATAAGTCCTGCTTAAAAGGAGCCGAAATATTGTTAACTGTAACAGAGTCAGCACTAGATTTTATTCTCCAGCCCATTTCCTCCATTTCTGTAATCCACACGGATATCATTCTGATCTCTCCGTGCACTGGTCAAATCTACCTGACAGATACGGAATTGGCAGACAGCTGCCTATCTGGACTTACTTCACTGGAGTTGAAAAAACGGTACATAACACAGAGGCTGCCACTTGATTCTGCTCTTTACAGCTAGAAATAGCTGATTCTGTAATAAAAGGTGGTCTAAGGTGGTAGGTGCATTCCCTTCTTAACTAGTCTTACTGGATGGGTTATTTGTCTGTACCTTTAGAAAAAAGCAGGCACAGAGATTATTTAGGATTGAGAACACACCTACTGATATATACAGACAGGAATATCCATGGTCTCTTCTACTGTTTCATCTTCTCTTGGGACCACTTTTTGCATCTTCAGTCATATTGCTAGCTGTATAGTATTAATGGCCCGTAACAGCCATAATCCTATCCAAAATGACTGAGACCTTTAGAATTATCTTTCGAAAGGCCTTGCAGGAATGTAGATTAATTTAACACCTTATACGATGTAGTATATTTTTGAAGAATATCCAAAAATGATTTCATTTCAGTGATAATGAATCTATTAGATATTTTTTTATTATATTTCTCATGTAGAACAGTATCATGGATTATAGATGAGACCAGTTAATGTTGATGTGTGATAGCTATGTAGGCTGTAAAGAGTTCCACCTTGCTCTCTTTCAGAGTTGATTTGAAATTCCAGCCAATACACCCAAGGGTGGGAGATGCTAGACATCATCCTAGATGATGATACTGCCCCTGCAGTTTATATATACTATTCCAGTCAAACTAGCCAAGTATCTTATATTCATGCACCACTAATCAACATGTCTTTTCTATCTTCACTGGCAGAATGTCAGAAGGGGACAGTGTTGGGGAGTCAATCCATGGGAAACCATCTGTAGTTGCTGCTTTCTTCACACGGATTGGACAGGTAACACGTCTATCACTTATATCAGATATATCATTTAAGTAATAAGGATGATAATATTTGCTGCTCTGTCCTAAATGCCAAAATGTATATCTCATGACCATCAAGCCACCAGTCTCATTACCTTAATACCACCAGAATTTATTAAACTGATGGTGATTAACGTCACTTCCATCGACTCAATGAGTTATGCTAATGGATTTCATTTTCAGAAATGCCTCTGTACTGGAATGTTATCACCTGTGATATCACCTGATATCAAAGTGCACATTAAGCTTCCTAAACTATCACAGACATAAAGATAACATTTACAACACACGGGAGATGTTTGCCAGTATTTTTTAGTGGAATGAAATAAACAGATGAATTGCAATTATATTTTTACATTTAATACACCATTTACTGTTCAGCAGCACACTGTTCTAATGTGAAAGTTCTTTAGTTTCACTTTCTTATTTCCAATCACATATTCTTCTCTTCTTTGTACTTAAAATAATCACTCAGTAGTAGCTTTCCTCAAGTTTTGTGTTCAGACTTGGTATTACTGTTTAAAAAGTACCATTAGTACATCCTTATTGTAAGTGAGATGGTGGCATCAGTGTCTCCAACTGTACTTGTCGGTCAGGCGGAGAAAGACGAGTTGAAGGGATGAAGAATGTTTAGATAACATTAATTTTCTTTACAGTAAGTAGCAATCCAGCCAGTGATCGTCACAGGGCGTTCAGTCAGTCAGTCAGTCAGTCAGTCAGTCAGTCAGTCAGTCAGTCAGTCAGTCAGTCAGTCATAGGCATGTCCTGTATCAATATCACTGCAAATTGAAAATGAAATCGACAGAGGCTCAGCAGTTTTTTTACATAGGAGTTTTTCTCTGCCTCTAGTGGCTACATTTTGTTTTCTCTGTGGATTTTTTTAACAGGTCTATCAGTCATGGCTAGACAAGTCAACGCCATTCTATGCAGTGCGATGGGCAGCCACTCTACTACTTACTGCTGTCTACATGATCAGAGTGTACATACTACAGGTAATTGTTTATTTTACTGTCTCTTTTACAATTTACTATATTATTTGCTCAGGAAAGTCAGAAAATGTAAGCCATGAGAGCTGTAGGTGTAATAAAAGTAACACAGACCAACTCATTCATTTGCCCAGTGATAAATAGTAATACTAAATACTACTTTTGTGATGTTAAAAATGTCTAGTTTTTGGAGACTGTCTTAGTGAGAGGTGATCATTCACCTCTCTTAATTATTTAAGTAGTAATTTGTGTTGTTGTGCTGGATTGCATTGTATTTAAGACACATTGTTTTTCATCATTTTTGCTGATTTCCAGCAAAGGTGAAAGATAGTCTCAGGGGACACGCCAAGAGGACAGTGACTGTTCATCTTTTTTTTTCTTTTTTTCTTTTTTTTTTTTTTGAAGAGGGATGATGCTCCTTGCCTGGGCTGGGCGGTATTTTGACTTTTTTGTGGAATATCGATAATATATTTTCAAACGAGATATAGGATGAGACAATACTGCTTAATCGATATAGTTTCTCGCCCCCACTCTCCTTCTGCATTGGCGCACAAACCCGACCCGACTCTCTCACAAGTTCTCTTGCAACAGGGAGTGAGACACAGCTTTTCATGTACAGTACCACTCAAAAGTTTGGACACACTTTCTGAATGGCAAAGTGTGTCCAAACATTTGACTGGTACTGTATATGTTGATATATGGTGCAGTTGTGTAGGCTTGTTGTTATTTTTGTTCCGTTAACATTTTTATTTTCCTTTGCACAGTTTTGTGTAATTGTAATAATTCTGTTATTGTTATTAAAAACAACTGAAGGAGCATCCTCAGAGATAGGTCTATTTTTATTTATATAGGCTATTTGTTTTGTATAATTTTTCATTTTGCAGCTATATATTTTAATACAAGTAACAAGGGAAGTAAACCCTGTATTTAAATTCTGTTTGGATCAGTCTGTTTTAATAAAAGTGCATATGACATCTTACATGTAGTTTGACTTAAAACTGAACAATTAGCCCACTTTGTAGAAAAATACAAGTGTGTGTGTGTAGTGTGTATCAGCCTAAAAATACCAAGAGTTTTGGTCCGTATTGCCCAGCCCTACTCTTCACTTTATGTGTTTGAGGAACATATATTCATATCCGATTCACCTGTCAGATGTATGATATGTGTGTTTTAAATTTTTGTCTACTCGCATGGAAATGTTCTTGCTCATTTTGTATTTAGTTTTCACTAACAAAGGTGCACTTCCATATTTACTGGCTACCCAGAAAGCCTTTTAATGTGGTGATGTTCCTTATGCTGCTTTTCAGGGTTGGTATATAGTAACATATGCTTTGGGAATCTACCATCTCAACCTCTTCATTGCTTTTCTATCACCAAAAGTGGATCCTTCACTGCTTGACGAAGGCAAGTTGACTCAATTAAATCAGATCACTTTTTGTAATGTGGTCCTTTTGTGTGTTTGGCAGTAGATTACCTCTCAAGTTGTTACCTGCCTGTTCTTTTTGGTTTTTGACTAGTTGCACTTTTGTTGTTTATATATACACTCTACATCCAAGTGTTTTCTGTGTTTTAGCTTGGATATTGTCATATTGTTGGTGTTAATACTGAGTCGTGATTGATGATTTCACCTGGTTATTAAGCACCACATCATCTTGTAACCTATATCTAATGTAGATGAGGGCCCATCCCTTCCTACCAAGCAGAATGAGGAGTTCCGCCCCTTCATCAGGAGGTTGCCTGAATTCAAATTCTGGTGAGTCCAGCTCATGATCTGGGCACCCTTTTCATCCACAAAGAGATTGCAATATATGTTCCTTCAAATGACCTGTGTGGTCCAAGCTTAAGTCGTGCAGAGCTTATTTGTAAAGGGGGAAGTCTTATCTCAGCTTTATCTCTACTTAATTCCTATCATCCATAGATCATCCTTATAACATAAACTTCTAAAAGAAACATCAAATATAGAAAGTTTTCATTAGATTTTTGTAAGCATGAGTTGACAAACTTTCACAGCAACAGTTAAAATCTTGGAGCAGTTTTAGCCATTAAAAATTATGTATCAAGGAACATGCTACTAAGTGATCATGAAAGCCTAATTTCTTTGTGTTCTAGCCTTTACAGTTTTACTTGTCTGTCATGTGTTCATGCAAAGTCTGTGTTCTCATGTGTTCTAAAGCAGGAAGAGAGTTCAGTGGTTTTGCATCAGTCAGTCAGTCAGTCAGTCAGTCAGTCTAAAGCTGCCATTTGTCTGGTGTATGAAAAGATTACCTTTGGTTCCTCTTCCCATATTGTTTATCACTGTGCTGTCAAGAACAGTTTTTTCAACGTGAAAACATAAATGGTGAGGTTGTTTTTAAAGTTGTGATTTTAAAAAATGTAACTGTAATAGTGCTGAACTGTTTTTTCATCAGCTGTTTGAAGATTTTCTGAGTTTACCAGACCTAAGAAAATAAATTGCAGTTGAACATATTATTACAGACATTAAAAAGACAAAGACATTAACATTTAGTCAACAACCTTTTACACTGGCAAGAGTAGACATATTTTTACGCCTTCCTGCGTTTTCCAATATGGATTTATTTCATGTTATGAATTAAAAGTCGTTCTTCACATTACTCTTCACACATACAGCCCAAAATGAACCCTCTGTGTGTGGACATACTGTACATACATAGAACATGCAATGACTGGGTTACAGTTGCGGATGTTGTTGACTTATGCTTAGTTGGTGTCACAAATGCGATTGCACTGTTTTAACTGAGGTTATGTTACTTATCTTTCCAGGCATTCTGCGACAAAAGGCATCGTCATCGCCATGATTTGCACATTTTTTGATGCCTTCAATGTGCCAGTGTTCTGGCCTATACTTGTAATGTACTTCATCATGCTCTTCTGCATCACCATGAAGAGGCAGATCAAGGTAAAAAGCACACACTGACCGACATATACATACACTGTATACATTGACACTGTGGCTGTACTAGTCTACTAAAATGTCAGAAACACCAGACTATATGATGCAATGCAAAATTAAGAGAGATGACTTAACCCTCTGACAAACATCCTGACATTCACAGAGGTCATATTTTGGCAATTTCATATGACTGCATACAGTGCATTTGTTTTATTTTGAATACCTTGTTTTAAGCACTATTTCTCTCTCTTTTTTTATTCATTTGATAAAACCAGCAGCCATTGTATTACTCTACAAACCCTACAAATACCTGTCGTTAATTCTCCTCTTTTTTCTTCTCCACCTTCTCTAGCATATGATCAAGTACAGATACCTACCCTTCACACATGGGAAGAGGACATACAAAGGCAAGGAAGACACAGGGAAAACTTTTGCTAGTTAAAAACTCCCACTTAGCCTTCCCTTCCTTCTCATTTGAGATCTATCAGTCACAGCTGATGGGAAGTGACAAGGGTTAGAGATTTGATTTTCTTTTTTTGTAAATGGGACAGTAACATGAAAACATAACATAAAAATATGAGTTTTGATCCATGGTTCACAGTGTTGGATGAGGATATGAGCAGCATGGATCAAATTAGTTTGGGGATTTTGCCTTTGACTATTAAATCTTTTTTTCTTTTTTTTTTTTTTTTTTTTTCTTTTTTCTTTTTTTTTTTTTGGAGGATCCCGAACCTCATTCTAGGATTGAGTTGCATTTGTTCAGTAGTAGGTGAAACTAAGTGCTGCCTTTTGCCTTTTTTAACCCCATGGGGTAAGTATAAAGTCATCAAGAGGGAACCACACTGAAAAAGAATTTGCAGTGAAATTTTTTTGCTTAATTTTTCCCCTTAATGATATTGATTCCAGTACATGTCCTTCTCCCAAATTAAATAAATGACAACTTTTGATTAATATATTGGTTCCTACTTATTTGTAACAAGTTATATATTGAAAGTCAGTAGTGTTAATAGCAAAATAACATGATGTGTAAGATGAAATCTGAAGAAAATACAACAGTCTTCAAATTGAATCATTTCATCTTTTGTGATAAAAAATGTGCAGCTGCTCTGGCTTAGAAGTGTGTAGCCAGTTGTCCTCTGTACTAAATGCAGACACTTTGAAGAGACTAGTCACATTACACTTGAATATGCATTCATGAAGGTAGAAAAAAGACCTATCATAATTCATCTCTTGAAATGATTACACTCAGCACACACAATCTTTGACTGATGTCTATCTTGAATTGGCAACTAATGTAATTCTGTGTATTACCCAGGTCACACTGGTGTAGCCCGTGTAACAAGCGTCATTATGGATGATTACCTTTGACTTCTTTTGAATCGTCAGCCACCCACATCACTGAATGCATATTTCAAGGCGAATGTTACTAACCCTGACCCATCTAGTTTCTTGTAGCCTGTAGTCTACCTTTAAATCAATTCTTTGTACTTATGCGCCTTTGTAAAGTTTAACAGATGGGATACTGTGTTGTTGAGCACCCCTATAAACCAAATTTTTAAATCATTTTTGGGGGCATTTAGCTTGAAATGGCAAGTCAATGAATTTGCTTTACCTCAGATTTTTACACCGTTATGTGGATAATTATTAAAAAAAACATACTGTCTTCAGAGTGCACAACCAGTATTCAAGTCCAATTCATAACAAGGTCTAATCTTACATAGTAATAAAGCAATTCCACATTTATCCCAACAACCTTTTCTCTTTGAAACATTTACCCATCTGTGTTTCAAAGGTCAGGGGTCCATTCAATTTGTGTAGACTAGTTGTTGTAGTCCTTTATAATCTGTGTTTACTTTGAAAAAAAGTTATGGTAAATATAGTCATTCCAAGCAAACTGTTGTTCTCTTTCTTTTGCAGAGGAAACATAAGAAAACAGAGATTGAGAGCTTTTATTATAACAAATGGATGAAGTGGGTGGCGATCACACTTTCTTTTCTGTAAACCTGTTGATTTTTTTTTTTCTTTTTCCATTTTTATCACAATGCTGGGGATTATCTGTCATTACTAAACTTTGATCAGCACTGTAGTAAGGGATCAAAACATTTTCCTGTAAAAAGTTTTTGTTTCAAAGGATTGTCTGGAGGATTTGTATATATATATATATTTTAAAAATATGAAATTTTTTTGAGATTATTTTTATTTTTGTTTTTTTCTTCCAACCACCATACTGTTTCCTATTTTTAAATCCATTGAAAGCAGAACTGGTTAATTGGGTTCTAGATTTGATGAATTAAATATCTTTCTCATGGATTGCATGTTCTTGTTTTCTTGTGCTACAGTTATTAAAAAAAATAGATTTTAATAGCTTAAGTGTAATTTTTTCACTCCAAATGCTATTAAAGAGACTGTGTCCCTTCAAACAGTATATTGGTGTCTTGCCTTCACATTTTGTCCATGGTGTCAGTACACATCTATTTCCTCTAGTAAAATCCATTTCAGTACAGTTGATAATTACTTGACATTTTCCACTCTTGAACTTCTCTTGTACTATTTAATGGGCCACATTCAGAACTGCTAGCAAATACTTTACTTTCTAAATATCTCACTTTCCATTATGGTGTTTTCTGCAGGTGCTAATCACATCAAGGATGCAGTATGATGCAGATGAAGTATAACTTCACCCTTAAATTGCAGTAAAAACACATATGGCTACCATTTGGTCTTACCTGTGTAATCCTGGGATGCCATGGAGGAAGGTAAACTAAAAAGGCCAAATATTGTAACAGAACAGAAGTGTCTTCGATGAATGTTAAACATAATTATATTTCAAATTTTTATATCTGTCGCACATTAGAGTTTGGATAAAAGAATTGTATAATTTCCTGGATTTATTCTCGATGGAGTCATTAAATTTGCTTGTTCATGATGATTGTGAATACATCACAGGCAGTCTGTTCAGCAGTTCAGGTGCTTTTGCATACTAATTTGTGAATTCTCCTCCATCCATGTAAAGGTATAAATTTAGTTTCCACATGTATGGAAATGATCAGTGAGGCTTAACCATCACCAGTGTCTCAACTTAGGAAAGGCAGAGGCAAATCTCGATATAGTCACATCAAATTTGTTAGCGGTAACTGTAACAATGAAACATTTTCTTCCTTCTCTGTGTCTGCTGGGATTTCTTCTGCGTGCCTTGACTCAATGCCCTGTCCACACCTCAGAGTTTCAGCTGGAAGGAGATTATTTGATAGGTGGACTTTTTGATGTTCATCATGTCGATGGCCCTGTTTATCATGACAGACCAGAAACCATCGACTGCGCCAGGTGAGTCTTATAATAAGTGTGTGGATATCTTCTGAAGTTGAAACTAATGAAGAATGCCTAGTTTAACAGATTACATTATTATTCAGGAGTTTCACTCACAATTGAGGTCAATAGCTATTGCTAGTTGCAAATTACACTCAAAATCTGATTAGAATCAAACATCTAATTATCATCTAAGTTATTGAAGGACATACAGTAAAGTCTTCATTATTGACTTCAGCATTTGTTCCATGAAATTCTTTTGAATGTTCATAACTGTACAGCCTTAACAAACAATAATACATAAACAATGAAACTAATTCATACACACTCTCACTGTCCCTCCTCTGTCCACAGTGAAAACTTAACTGAATCAAGTTATCGGAGGTTTCAGCTGATGAGATTCTCTGTAGAGGAAATCAACAACTCTACCAACCTACTGCCAAATGTATCTCTTGGCTATGAGATATTTGACCACTGCTCAGATATACAGAACTTTCCAGGAATTTTGAATCTCATCTCAGTCAATGGCTTGATCCAACCTTGGGGTGAACCACAGAAGAATCTGTCCAGTGTGTCCAAAGTGATAGCAGTGGTCGGCACCTATACAAGCACTGAGACACTGAGTGTGGCTCCACTATTCATGATGAATCTCATTCCTATGGTAAATTTACTATCTATGATATGCTGAATTAATACAGCTTCAAAAGCTGTTTAACTTTTGAGAATTTACTGTCAACCTAAAAATAATGAAACGTATCTCATTTAACAGGTCAGTTATGGAGCTGCTACCTCTGTCTTTTCAAGAAAACAGAATTTTCCCTCTTTCTTCCGAACAGTACATCCGAATAAAGATGTAATAGAAGTGATTGTTAACATCATACTGCACTTCAACTGGCGCTGGGTTGCTTTCCTTAATGTTGATGATGATTATGGCAACGATGGGCGGGATTTGTTCATAAAAAAGATTAAGGACACTGAGATCTGCCTGGCGTACACCAAAGGTCTCAATCATGATACAGATTACTCCCAAATATTCAGACAGATAGAGGCACAGAGGGTAAATATCATTATTGTTTTTGTTCCTAAAATGACTGCTGAACCTCTCATCGAGTCAGCAATACAACTAAATGTCACCAACAAAGTGTGGATAGCAGGAGATGCCTGGTCCTTAAACAAGAAGCTCCCCAAGGAGAAAGGAATCAGAAATATTGGAACTGTGCTTGGAGTCTCTGAACCAGCCGTGACGATACCTGGTTTCAGTGACTTTATTTATTCCTTAAAAAGCCAGACTCACTGTGAAAATGCAGGACAGCAGTTTTGTAATCAGATTTGCAACTGTAGTAACCTGAGTCGAGAAGATATCTTTTCTGCAGACCCATCTTTCTCTTTTCCTGTTTATTCTGCTGTATATTCCATCGCTCATGCCATACACAATGCCTTGCAATGTGGAGCTGGCACATGTAATGGCAATATTACACTGTACCCACACATGGTAAGTACACAACTGATTTGAGAGTTGATGTAATTATCACATTTTACATATGTAAAGAAAAGATCCTCAGAATACAATCAACACAAATTTTAACATCAGAAATCAGATAAGGGATCGGCACACTCTACTGATAGCTTCCAACACGTCCAACACTTTAAATAAAGCATTGTTTCAGTCTCAGAGAGCGCTTTGTCAGGTTTCTCCAAGCCTTGTGAAACATTTCAGTCTCATTACATCTCTCTGACGTTGAAACAATGCTGTATTCAATTTAATTAACTGGGAGGTAATGTTTTCTCTGATTTCTGCCTTCAGTGTTAAATTTTTTTAATCCAGCACCTGGATGTGCGCACTCTTTTTTATTATCTTGTAAGCATTGCTGTGGTTATGGAGCACCACAAGTGACATGAAAATAGAAATGAAGCATTTCATTAATTAATAATTATTTGTCCAGTAAGATTATGCATTAATACATTTGTTTACAACTTTTAATTAACCATTCATTGATCTCTAAATAAATAGACTAAATTACAAAGTAATTCAGTAGGCTATTTGATATTTCGTTTCGTTTCGTTGTCTCCCGCTTATCCGGATCCAGGTCGCGGGGGCAGCAGCCTCAGCAGAGAGGTCCAGACGGCCCTCTCCCCAGCCACTTCCACCAGCTCCTCGGGGAGAATCCCGAGGCGTTCCAAGGCCAGCCGAGAGATATAATCCCTCCAGCGTGTCCTTGGTCGACCTCGAGGTCTCCTCCCGGTGGGACATGCCCGAAACACCTCCCCGGGGAGGCGTCCAGGAGGCATCCTCACCAGATGCCCGAACCACCTCAACTGGCTCCTCTCGACATGGAGGAGCAGCGGCTCTACTCCGAGTCCCTCCCGGATGACCGAGCTCCTCACCCTATCTCTAAGGCTGAGCCCGGCCACCCTGCGGAGGAAACTCATTTCGGCCGCTTGTACTCGCGATCTCGTTCTTTCGGTCATTACCCAAAGCTCATGACCATAGGTGAGGATCGGAACGTAGATCGACCGGAAAATTGAGAGCTTCGCCTTCCGGCTTAGCTCCCTCTTCCCCACAACGGACCGATTCAGCGCCCGCATCACTGCTGACGCCGCCCCAATCCGCCTGTCGATCTCCCGCTCCATCCTACCCTCACTCGTGAACAAGATCCCGAGATACTTAAACTCCTCCACCTGAGGCAAAGCCTCCCCCCCGACCTGAAGCGGGCAATCCACCCGTTTCCGGCTGAGAACCATGGCCTCAGACTTGGAGGTGCTGATTTTCATCCCAGCCGTTTCACACTCGGCCGCGAACCGCCCAAGCGAGAGCTGAAGGTCGGCGTTCGATGAAGCTAGGAGGACCACATCATCCGCAAAAAGCAGAGACGAGATCCTCCCGCCACCGAAACCAAACCCGTCCACCACCCGGCTGCGCCTAGAAATTCTGTCCATAAAAGTTATGAACAGAACCGGTGACAAAGGGCAGCCCTGGCGGAGTCCAACCCTCACCGGGAACAGGTCCGACTTACTGCCGGCTACGCGAACCAGACTCACACTCCTTTGGTACAGGGATTTAATGGCCACTAACAAGGGGCCATCCACCCCATACTCCCGGAGTGCCCCCCACAGGGAGCCCCTGGGAACACGGTCGTAAGCCTTCTCCAAATCCACAAAACACATGTGGACTGGATTGGCAAACTCCCATGCTCCCTCCAGCACCCTAGCGAGGGTAAAGAGCTGGTCCACAGTTCCACGCCCAGGACGAAAACCACATTGCTCCTCCTCGATCTGAGGTTCAACTATCGATCGGACCCTCTTTTCCAGTACCCTGGCATAGACCTTACCAGGGAGGCTGAGGAGTGTAATTCCACGGTAGTTGGAACACACCCTCTGGTCACCCTTCTTAAAGATGGGGACCACCACCCCGGTTTGCCACTCCAAAGGCACTGCCCCCGATGTCCACGCAATGTTGCAGAGGCGTGTCAACCAAGACAGCCCTACAACATCCAGAGCCTTGAGATACCCAGGGCGGATCTCATCAACCCCCGGGGCTCTGCCACCGCGCAGTTGTTTCACTACGTCGGCGACTTCTGCCCCGGAGATTAGATCATCCATCCCCAGGTCTCTTGGCTCTGTTTCCTCTACGGAATACGTGTTGGTGGGATTGAGGAGCTCCTCAAAGTATTCCTTCCACCGTCCTACTATATCCTCAGTTGACGTCAGCAGCTCCCCGCCCCCACTGTAAACAGTGTGAGCGAGTTGCCGCCTTCCCCCCCTGAGGCGCCGGACGGTTTGCCAGAACCTTTTTGGAGCCGATCGATAGTCTTCCTCCATTGTCTCACCGAACTCCTCCCACGTCCGAGTTTTTGCCTCAGCAACTGCCGCGGCTGCACTCCGCTTGGCCCGCCGGTACCAGTCAGCTGATTCCTGAGACCCACAGGCCAACCACGCCCTGTAGGCCTCCTTCTTCAGCCTGACGGCTTCCCCCACCGCCGGTGTCCACCAGCGGGTACGGGGGTTACCGCCACGACTGGCCCCAGCTACCTTGCGGCCGCAGCTTGCAACAGCCGCCTCAACAATAGCAGAGCGGAACAAGGCCCATTCGGACTCAATGTCCCCCACTGCCCTCGGGACGCGGTCGAAACTCTGCCGGAGGTGTGCGTTGAAAATCATCTTGACGGGTTCTTCCGCCAGGTTTTCCCAGCAGACCCTCACAACCCGTTTGGGCCTGCCAGGTCTGCGCGGCGTCTTCCCCCGCCATCTGATCCAACTCATCACCAGGTGGTGGTCGGTTGACAACTCTGCTCCTCTCTTTACCCGAGTGTCCAAAACATGCGGCCGCAGGTCTGATGATACGACTACAAAGTCGATCATAGACCTGCGACCTAGGGTGTCCTGGTGCCAAGTGCACCTGTGGACATCCTTATGTTTGAACATGGTGTTAGTTATGGCCAAGCTGTGACTAGCACAGAAGTCCAATAACTGAACGCCGCTCGGGTTCAGATCGGGCAGGCCGTTCCTCCCCACCACACCCTTCCAGGTCACGCTGTCATTGCCCACGTGAGCGTTGAAGTCTCCCAGTAGGACAATGGAGTCCCCTTTCGGGGCACTTTCCAGCACCCGTCCCAAGGACTCCAAAAAGGGTGGGTAGTCTGAACTGCTGTTCGGCGCATAAGCGCCGACAACAGTCAGAACCCGATCCCCGACCCGAAGGCGCAGGGACGCAACCCTTTCGTCCACCGGGGTAAACTCCAACGTGCAGGCAGAGAGCCTGGGGGACACCAAAAAGCCCACCCCGGCTCTCCGCCTCTCACCCGGAGCAACTCCAGCAAAGAGGAGAGACCAGCCCCTCTCAAGGACTTGGGTTCCGGAGCCGACGCTATGTGTCGAGGTGAGGCCGACTATATCTAGCCGGTATCGCTCGACCTCTTCCACAAGCTCCCGCTCCTTCCCCGCCAGAGAGGTGACGTTCCATGTTCCAAAAACCAGTTTCCGTAACCGAGGATCGGACCGCCAAGGCCCCCGCCTTGGTCTGCTGCCCAATCCACAATGCACCGGATCCCTCTGACTCTTCCTGCAGGTGGTGAGCCCACTGGGAGACGAACCCATGTAGCCGGTTCGGGCTGGGCCCGGCCGGGCCCCATGGGCTAAGGCCCGGCCACCAGGCGCTTGTCCACGGGCCCTAACCCCAGGCCTGGCTCCAGGGCGGGGCTCCGGTGTCCGTCCGGGCCGGGTACTCGGGTTCTTGTTAGTACTCGTCATAAGGATCTTCTGAACCGTTCTTCGTCTGGCCCTTCACCTAGGACCAATCTGCCTTGGGAGACCCTACCAGGGGCAAAATGCCCCCGACAACATAGCTCCTAGGGTCATTAGGGCTCTCAAACTCCTCCACCACGGTAAGGTGACGGTTCAAGGAGGAGTATTTGATATTTTACTGGCCAATTAAAATAGGAATAAAATAGTGGTTACCAAAATAACATAAAACAGTCATTAACTACATCATTTAAAAATACATTAATGAGTTAATAAATAAATAATTGTGTTTAAAAATCTATTTGAAAATGCAGTTTAAAAAGAAAAATGAATAACTGGATTCACATGTTGATTTAAGCATATGGATTTTAGGTGTTTAAAAGGTCAATATCCTTCCCTATTTGCATTTTAATTTCTGATTAGCTATTCGATTTGCTTAGACATTTTGCCTTTCCACTGCACTTTGGGCCTTGCAATAAAAGGAGGTAAAACAATGCAAATAGCCATGGGATGTAATAAGCTCTGATCGGTAATCACCTGGTATGTCATATGCAGAGATAAAACATGGATGTGGGAAGGACACAGTCAGGGTGGATGCCCAAGTTGAGAGTGTCTTAATGGTGTAACACTGTGAGGATCGGCACTCCATTTTACTGGCAAAATCCCTTCAAATTCTTGATGTATCAGTGTTGGACGTTAAGAGCGTGAAAGTGTCTTCTTGGCACCTAAACAGTGTTGGAAAACATAACTAGGATATGAGTTGGCTGCATCTCTCTAACAGAGAGCCTGTCACAACCAAAGGCTAATTTGCATTGCTTTACCTCTTTTTACCAGCACAAGGCCCAAAATATCACAGCTACGGCTAAATGGAGAGGCTCAAAGGAGAAGCTAAATGACTAAGCAAATTGAATAGGAAAAGGAAAAGCAGTGGGGAAATGGAAATGCAAAATTGGAAAAGAAATTGTCCTTTTAAATGTCTGATTAAAATCTGTTCTTAATTAAATATATGAATCCAGTTCTTCAATTCCATTATTTATTTATGAATACATTAATACTTTTAAATGATGTACTTATTGACTTTATATTTCATGTTGTTTTGTAAACCCTTTTCAATTTGAACTATTTATTGAGGATTAATATTTCATTTGTAAATGCTTCCTTCTTCCAATCCTTTTTTTGCCCATTAAAATATCAAATACTGAACTACTTTGTAATTTATTCAATCTGTTTATAGATTGATAAATGAATTCATGAACAGATTTATGAATGCACATTTTTATTGTACAAGTTATTAATTAATGAAATGCTTTGTCACAGTTTCTGTGACACTCGTGGTCCTCCATACTCATAATATCAGACAACACATTTCAGAGATAGAAGAGTGTAGAGTCTGATAAACCACTTCCAACACTAAGAGGTTAGGAAGTGTTAGGAAGAGCTAAGAGGGGCATCACACTGCACTTCTCTCCATAGAAGTATTTAACCTAAGAATCTATTTAATCAACACCTCCAATGTCCATTGTGAGCGCATGCAAGTAATATGATTGTTGTCTACCCGCATCAGGTTCTAGCAGAACTGAAGAAGTCAAACTTTACACTTTTAAATCAAAGTATTCAGTTTGATGAGAATGGTGACCCCAAGTTTGGAGCCTATTCCATAGTTTTCTGGAACCACAGTGGCGATGCAGAGGAGGTCGGCATTTATAAATTTCGCCCATCATTCCATTTCTTCATCAACAACAGCAAAATTCAGTGGTACACGAAAGGAAAAGTAAGTTGTTTTTTCCTATCAGTAGTTATATTGTAGTATATACAATGTAACTACTGTATATACAGTATATATATATATACATATATATATATATATATATATATATACACACTTATTACCTCCACCAAGGAGGTTATGTCTGTTTGTTTTTTGTTCTGTTTGTTTGTCAGCAGGATTACACAAAAAAGTACAGAGCTGGTTTGCACTGAACTTGGTGGAGGGGTGGGACATGGGCCAGGGTAGAACCCATTAGATTCTGGGGCAGATTCTGATCATTTACTATGATTTTGAAAACTTTCCTCTGAAGCCTGGTCTCTGTTGTTTGACATTGGCCTTGGCAAAAACGTCTGCACTCTAGTGAGTGCATTTTCTGGTTTAGTAAAGCTGTGTATATCAGGTTAAATCAACCATTGGTGGTTGTTCATGGTGCATTTTGCAGGGTTGTATAAATATAATACTTACAATGATGGTTACATTTTTACAATACATTTGGTTTGAAATTTAAAAAGCTGAATAGGCCTCGTTACTGTTACTTCTCTACCTCTCATTTGCCCCCTTACAATTTTCTCTGTCATGCTCTTGCATTTGATTTGCTACTAAACAATTGTGTTGTACAGGCACCTACTTCAGTGTGTTCCCCAGAATGTCCTGTGGGACATGCAAAAAAGCAAGATGGGATCCACAAATGCTGCTTCAATTGTGAAATCTGTCTGAATGGAACTTATGTCAACAGCACAGGTAAATTATTACACATGAAAATAAGAAAATTAGTAAAATTTCAGACAGTTTAGTTCTCAAGGCTAAGAGGGTTTAACATCATTTCATGTCGATCAGACACTGCTACACTGCTTAGGCTTCCATGTTCACTGTGACCACTGCACACACCAATTAAACATGATACAGTTAGCTGTAGGGTTTATCACTGTAAACTCTAATGCAAGTTTGACATGAAGTAAAAAGCTCATTTTAGGAGAACATAGTATCACGGATTAAACATCTAATGCTGCTTCCTCAGCTGTTTAACCTCTCTTACATCCTTTCATCTCTCTTTTGGTCTGTTTTTATTTTTCAAAATTTAATCTTACCCTTTCTGACAAATTGTCCCTCTCCCATGTGAAACAGAGGATCCCTACAAGTGCATCGACTGTAAGGAGACAGAATGGTCTGCAGAAGGAAGTACATCATGCAATCTGCGGGTGGTGGAGTACACCCCATTCACAGACAGTGAGGCTATACTGATCATGGTCGGGGCCTGGGCCCTGGTGGGCCTCACACTAGCCATGTCTGTTCTCTTTGCCATCAACTACAACACCCCTATTGTCAGATCTGCTGGGGGACCCATGTGCTTCCTAATTTTAGGCTGCCTCAGTCTGTGTAGTCTTAGTGTGTTCTTTTACTTTGATAAGCCAACAGTTTCTTTCTGTATCTTAAGGCTCTTACCATTCATTTTGTTCTACACTGTCTGTCTGGCATGTTTTGTTGTGCGATCTTTTCAAATTGTTTGCGTTTTCAAAATGGCTGCCAAGTTCCCCAAGCTCTACAGTTGGTGGATAAAATATCATGGACAATGGCTGGTCATCACTGGGGCTTTTGTTATTCAGGCACTCTTTCTTCTCATTGGCTATTCTTGTGGACCTCCCAAGCCCTACAATGAAACACGTTGGTACCCAGACAAAATAATACTGAGCTGTGACATGGGTCTGAAAGCAAACTCTGGTTCTGTGATTTTACTTTTGTCTTTGTGCTCTCTTTGCTTCATTTTCTCCTACATGGGAAAAGACCTCCCAAAAAATTACAATGAGGCCAAAGCAATAACATTCTGCCTGCTCCTGCTGATCCTCACCTGGATCATCTTCTCTACCGTGCACGTGCTTTACCGTGGAAAGTACATCCAAACTCTTAACGCTCTTGCAGTACTCTCCAGTCTCTTCTCCTTTCTGTTGTGGTATTTCCTCCCAAAATGTTACATCATCATTTTTCAACCCCACAAAAACACACAGCAGTACTTCCAAGGTCTCATTCAGAATTACACAAAAACAATTAGCCAGTAGCAGCTCTCTGTAATTATGTGTCACTGTAGACAGAGGAACTGTTGTGCTTCAGGCCTTCTTGTCAAAAAGATACATATACTAAATGAAATCTTGACATGAAGTCTTGTTCTTTTGGTGTAACCTAACTGTGTTAACAAAATTTGATTAGTTGCTGGGTTGTTCTACTGAGTAATGTATTAATGAGGGATGCAGTCATACAGTTATTTAGTTAGGGATGGTTGGCATCTCATAGCCCTACTCCCAACATGCTGATGCTAAGCAGGTGTAATGTTTAGCCTGACAAAATGCTAGAATTGGCTAATTAGCACTAAACAGTGCAACTAGGAATGTCTTTACCAAGCAATTTAGTCATAAACCAACAAATTTAAATTTTTACCAGATGATGGCACTGGATGAACAGTTGTAAGGGATCACCAAAGTAATTAAAATTCTTCCTGAGGTGTATATGAATGTTGAAACTGAAATTCATTCAGTCCATCCAATGGTTGTTGAGACATTTCACTCAAAACCAAAAGTTTTCAATTATTCTGTGAAACATCTCAAAATCGATTTTGAGTGATTAGCCCAATTTTTTTTTCACTCATTCATTTTTTTTCAAATGTCATGGTTCCTGAACAATGAATCCCACTACTTGCTGATCATCTGACATTTTCTCTAGCACCACCCTGAGGTTAACATTTGGTGGTTTTGAGTGAAATGTCTCAGCAACAATTAAATGGATTGGCATGACATTGGGTAAAAACATTCATGACCCCATCAGGATGAATTGTAATGACTTTTTCTTAATTTATCATCTAGCGCCATCATCTGGTCCAGAGCTGGTTGCTGGCATAAGTAGTTCCATCCATTTTAAGTGAGATCTACCACTTTAATAAAGCTTGTAATTATGACACACCTGTTGTGAGAATGTTTTTTAGTTAGACACCTGGAGTCATCTGTTTTTTGATGCATCACATATGACAGCCAGTATCTGTATGGATTATTTACGTATATCTTTCAACACAGTATCAGAATCTGACAGTAATGAACCTCCTGTGCTTCTTCTGCACAGTTGTGAGCTGTTTCACACTTATTGTGAGTTCACTCAAGTCAGTTTATGTAAATAGCTGCATGGTTGTTATTCTCATTGTATTTACAGTAGTAGCATTGTTGTGCACATGTATACACTCATATGACTAATGCAACCTTTTAATCAAGAAATTAAACATATATAGTCAACAGACAGTAATAATGAAAATATGTTTTTTGACTGTTTTCTAAATGATATTAGTTCACATCATGTACACACTGACAGTTTTTCTCTCCAGAATTGTAAAAAGTTCATGCCCTTGAAGGCTTATATGGGATGCTGTATAATCAAGTTGGGAAGATTTATATTGATATGTAATGTTCAGTATATTAACATTAATATAGCACTTATATATGCTACTACTACATATAAATATTCAGGGTAGTGCATATTATTTTACTTCCAAAAGAAAAACAGTTCCCAGAGGGTCCGCTTGGACTCTTCTCTCAGCACATTCAACTGCCTCCTGACGTGATGTGACTGACTATTAAGCAAATTCTGGAGGTCTGCAAACCTCACGGTTATCATTATTATTTTCAAATAAAAATTCTGAAGAAGGTGCCACTCTGGCAACAGCTGGCACTCATCTAGTCGACATTTGAATTGGTCCAATACTTTAATCTATGACTCCTTAAACTAATGACATTCACACCAGCCTTAGCTGTACTGTGTGTTTGGTGCTAGTTAGCGTATGTTAGCATGGTAACACACTAAAATAAGATTGTGAACATGGTAAACATTATACCTGCTTAGCATCAACATGCAATGAAGGAAATGAAGACTCAGTTATTACAAAACTGAAACTTCTAAGATGTTGAAATGATCAGTTTATGAATACGACCAGGTCACAACTACACTTACACATGAGAAATAACTTTATAAACTAAATTAAAGAACATGTACTAATTTAGATATTTACACATATGTGCAAAACTGAATTATAACAATACATATGATTCAATAAAAAAAAAAAAAAAAAAACATAATGAAATGTGTGTTTTCCTTTCTGTCCAACTGTATTTTGTGGTTGCTATTACACTACATTAATCTCACCACATGAAAGAACCACCTCACTGTGACACTGCCAATATTGCACACAAGCTGACACCAGATTCTGTATAGTTCCAAACTGTTGGCTGTTGAAAAAATGTCATTTGGTGCATTACCTTGAATCAGGAAGACATTTAGTGTGTTTGTGCCAACCACATAGAAATGTTCTTGTCCTCTTCATTCTGTCATTTCTCCTTGAGATGATCAGGTTTACAAAAAAGCAAGGATGTAATATATTATCATTCAAGCTCTTATTGCAAATACATGATCTTTGTCAGGCCGAGACTCAAAGCAGGACTCAGATGCAGAGAATTTGAATAACAAAAAGGCTTTTATTGAATTCACCGGAGACCTCAGACAGAGTGACAAACAAATGGCTATAAAAAACTAGACACTAAACTCTGAATCCTGAGAAACAAAAACACTCCAGGAGGAGGAAAAAACTCTAATCAAAAGAAACAAATCGATAAACACAAAACGCTCCGAATGGAGGAAAAACCGAAGGACTATGAATCTAATCTATGGAAAGAATTAACAAACAAAAAAATCACTCTTAAAGAGGAAAAACCAAAGGACTAGGAATCTAAACTATCTAAAGAATTAACAAACAAAAAATCACTCGTTAACGAGGAAAAACAAAGGGCTATGAACTTTACATATGGAAAAATTTACAAACAAAAAATCACTCTTCTCGAGGTACAAACGGCTTACTTTGGCGACTACTATGGCTGTGGACATAGACAAAGGCTCTGGTGCAGGACAAGGACGATGACACTCTGGCACAAGACAAGGGGAACACAGACTATTTAAACACATGGAGGGAAATAGGGGACAGGTGGAAACACTTAGGGCAATCAGACTGAGACACATGAGGAAGGGCAAGTGACCTGAAACGAGAGGAGAATTACTTTTCAAAATAAAACAGGAAATGACAGGACAAAACAAACCCAAGACAAGACAACCTCACCACGGTGTGACAATCTTATGTTTATGGCTCACGATTTCTTCCATAAATACAGGGATTAATTGCACACAAGAGGATGTCAAAAGACTTAGTTCATAATGATAATATTAACTTTTGACTTCCTCATAATCCCTGTTATTTTAGCATAGATGAGGCTAGAAGCTGTACATCTCAGTGATGTTACAGTTTAAAGATCTAGTTATCCACTATGTTTCCTTTTTAGCAGGGTCTTTCTTAAGTTGTATCAGAACATCAAAGGAATTTTGACTTACTTAAAAATGACGTTATACAACATTATTAAAAAACAACAACAGCAAACAGCAAATTTAAAGATCTGGACTATACACCAGTGTAGTAAGCTGAAATAGTCTCTTGTTTTTTGTATGATGCTGTTGTATCAGTACTAAAACAGAACTCATTGTGTTTCAGGCATTTCATCAGGTTGCCTGAATTCAGACTTTGGTGAAAGCACAGCTCATGGTCTGTCATCCGCCGTGGTCATCCACAGAGTGATTGCAAATCATCTCCTTTCAAATGACCTGTGTGGTCAAAGGTTCAGTCATGCAGAGCTCATTTGTAAGAGGATGTAGCATTTTAGCATAAACCAAAGATACCTGGTTGAATTAATTCATTGATTTGTGTGTATTTGCTTGTGACCTCGTGTGATCTCACAAGCTCATCTTCACTTTATCTTTATTTCACCCCTTTCCTCCATAGATCATCCCTATAGCGAAACGTTCATTCGATATAACTATGTTTTATAAGACTTTCAAACTTTCACTTTGACAAACATTACATTCTTATAACTGTTACAACAGTTTTAAGTAGTGTTAGCCACTATAAAAATGATATTTCAAGGAGAAATGCTACAAATTTTTTGCCCAATGAGCATCATGAGCATTGGTGTTAACTGTGTTAAACTTTGCCTGATGCATAATTCATCATACATACGTTGTGTGGAATAAAGCAGGAAGAGAGGAGAGTGGTTTTGCGTCAGTTAACATGCAGCTGGCATGTGTCTGGTGTATGAAAAGATGATCTTTGGTTGTCTTTTCCAGATGTTTCATCTGTGCAATATAAAGACATTTGAGTTATTTCAACTCAGTTTGAGTGAACTGGGTGGGTCCCTATTTTGGTTGAATTGTGCATGCTCATGAGGACGCACATGTGTGTGCAAAGATAAGTGATGAGGTATATCTTCATGCTATCAGTTTCCCATTATTCGGCTGATCAACAGTTGGTGTTGGTAACATAGTAACTGCAAGGTCCACAGTTTGACTCCCGATTGGAGAACCCTTGTTGCATGTCGTACCCCCCCCCCCCACACACACACACACACACACTTTTCCTGCTGCTCTGTATAAGGTACACTATTTGGGCCTTGAACAGTAGATGATCCTTCTCTGCTGACAATTACATTAACCCCCTGCCATGTTTGCTCCTTTATATTGAATTCAAAAGATAGTTTTTCTGCTCTGTGAAAGGATGAGACTGTCCTCCTGTAAAGAAAAAAGGAGCCCATAATGTAGGTCATCTGTGCTAGAAGATTATTATGGTGCATGGTTACATTTTATTGTTAGGCAACCTCTGGTGCCATAAAATACAATGTCAGTTTTGCTATCGTGTGACTGTTTGCAAGCAGGTTGCTTCCTCATAATAACCTTTAGTCATCACATGAGTTAGTGCAGCTTAGATGCTTTTTGCATATTCATTTGTGAATTCTCCTTCAACCATTTACAGGTGTGTATTCATCTGAAGTCATGCATTCCCAAATACATGGAAATGATGAGTGCGGGTTTGCTGTTACAAGCATTGTATTGCTTATTAAAGGCAGAGATTAATCGCTTTGGAGATCACATCAGATTGGTAAATGATAACTGTAACAATGAAACATTTTCTTCCTCCTCTGTGTCTGCTGGGATCTCTTCTGCGTGCCTTGACTCAATGCCCTGTCCACACCTCAGAGTTTCAGCTGGAAGGAGATTATTTGATAGGTGGACTTTTTGATATCCATCATGTCGATGGCCCTGTTCATCATGACAAACCAGAAGCCATTGACTGCGCCAGGTGAGTCTTATAATAAATCTGAGTGGATATCTTCTGAGGATGAAACTAATGACCAACTCTTAGTGGAACAGTTTATATTCTTTTTCAACACTATGGGAGCTTTACTTCAAATGTCAGACCAATTGTACTGTACATTTGGGCAATCTGCAATATAAGTATGCACTTAACACTTTAACACTATAGCACTTTGCACTTTAATCAGCTCTCTGATATTTATCTATTTAAGTTTTTAGCATCTAAATACTAGTGAAATACATATAATACACTGACCCTTGGTCTGCATGTTTCTACAATACTACTGTATCTTTTTTTGTCTTCCAATTGCCCTCCTTGTTGTTACTGTTGTTTATTGATTTTATTATTTCACGTTGTTAACATCAACCTGCCAAAGGGACTGCAGATGGAAATTAGCCATATTTACATGTATATGTTCATTAATATGTACTGTCCCTTGTTTTTAAATAAATAAACTCCAAACTCCAATGACTATAGCTTAGTAGCACAAATCTCCTCTCTCTTCTACCAGTGTAGAGGTGTGAAGACTGATAGTGTTCATTTGAAGTCAATCTTACTCTCCTTTTCTCTGCCCACAGTCAACCCTTAATTCTGTCAAGTTATCGGAGGTTTCAGCTGATGAGATTCTCTGTAGAGGAAATCAACAACTCTACCAACCTACTGCCAAATG